GTGTCTGTGTGTTTGTTTGTGTGTGTTTGTTTGTGTGTCTGTGTCTGTGTCTGTGTCTGTGTCTGTGTCTGTGTCTGTGTCTGCGTCTGCGTCTGCGTCTGCGTCTGCGTCTGCGTCTGGGTCTGCGTCTGCGTCTGCGTCTGCGTCTGCGTCTGCGTCTGCGTCTGCGTCTGCGTCTGCGTCTGCTCCTGCTGCTCCTGCTGCTGCTGCTGCTGCTGCTGCTGCTGCTGCTGCTGCTTTGTTGGTCGTTGTTGTCGCTGTCGCTTTGGTTCTCTGCCTGTCTGCTTGTACGAAGATGTGGTCTTTCGTGGCGGCGGTGATAGTGGCATGGGCAGCGGTGGCGGCGGTGGCGGGGCTTCGTTTATTGCAGTTGCAGCTGTTAGTGTTGTTGCTACTGCTACTGTTGTTGTTGTTGTTGCTGCTGCTGTCGCCGTTGATGTTGCTGTTGTTAAACTATTGCTGCTGCTGCTGCTGCTGCTGCTGTTCTTGCGGCTGCTGTTGTTGTTGGCGATCGTGTGGTGGTGGTGGTGGTGGTGGTGGTGGTGGTGGTGGTGGTGGTGGTGGTGGTGGTCTTGCTCTTCGCCGACGAGACCGTTGCTCAAACGTGGTCTCGGCGCTGTATGGCTGTACCTATATGTACTTTTGCAGGCACTGATATCGGTGCTGCTGCTGCTGCTGCTGCTGCTGCTGCTGCTGCTGCTGCTGCTGCTCCGGCCGTCGGTTGTAGTGTTGGTGCTGGCAGTTTTGGGGTGTGTTGTTGCAGACGCAAAGTTTGTTGCTCGATCTTGCAGGCTTTTATTTTGGCTGCTGCTGCCGAGAGGATGTGCTGATTATCTTGAGCTTCGCTTGCGCTGTTGTTCTTACTGCGCTGGTGGTGCTGTGGCTGCTGCTGGTGGTTGTCTTCATCAGCGTTGCCGCTGTTGTTTTTTGCGGCGGTGCTCATAGCGGTGGCCACTGCTGTCGTCCTTGTCATTGGGCTGCAGCTCGGTCGTGGTTGCGGTTGCATCAGTGCTGCAGCCGTTTCTCCCCGTGCTTTGTGTTTTCCTGAGTATCATTCCTCTCAGTCTTCCCCGTAGTTCAGGCTGCGAACCTTTGGCCGTGCTACTGCTGCCATGTGTAAATTCTGGCTTTTTCTCATTATCCTCGCCGAGGAACGTCATCGAGGCATGCAGTGCTACTTGACCCACAAGCACTGCTGCGCGACAGCATCGGTGGGAGTACCGAAGGCCGAAGTATCCAATCCTGGGCTGCTAGCTTAGGGTTTAGGGGTTTCGGGATTCTATAAAGTTTCTTCTTAAGGTGGCAACCCACACGGGTTCGTGTAAGTGTAAGGGTTTCTACAAGAGCTTCCGTAGGAAATCTCTGTGGGCCGAGAGAGTTTAGGGTGCAGGGTAGGCTTTAGAGCTTGTAGGGTTTAGGGGTGTAGGGTTTAGGATTTGAAGCGTTTAGGGGTTTAGGGTTTAGGGTCTGTAGCATTTAGGGGTTTAGGGTTTAGTTCCGATGAAACGCGTCAGGCTAGGGCTCGCGCATGCAGACGGCTACGTGCCGTGTGCTTGCGCAAGCTTCTGAAGATGCAGCCAAGCATCAGCGCCATGATACGCACCCCGACGAGAATCACCAGAAATGTGTAGAGTTGCCCAGCTGGGTAAAGAAGAGCACCTTGTGTCTGCCTGCAGCAACAGGGTAGTGTAACCATGTACCAGTGTAGCATAACCATTGTCCTTGAAGGGACTATGGGCACAGGCACTCTTAGCGGTAAATGTAAGACCAATCTTTGCTTCCAGTAGAAATCGCAACCCGGCAGGCCCCCTCCAACTGAAGCATAGTTGCTTAGTTCATCGGCACCCCAGTATTTGTACTCTAGACTCTAAACCCACTAACCCTAGTCCAAGAGTTAAGATTAAGCCCTTTGTCGGAAGTTTTGGTAATACCGCCTGATAGGAAACCTCGAAAGGAACCCAGTTAACGAAGCCGCCTCTAGCAAGCTCTTATAGTAGCCCTTTACAGGAAACCTTTCAAGGAAACCCTACGTCCTCTTGACTCGACCCACCGTCATGAAGATGTCCGCAGAAAGATACCTGATGCGTCTAGGGATTTTGGCTTTAGGGCTTTAAGGTTAGGGTCCAGGGTCTAGGGTGTAGGGTTCAGGGTTATGGGGTTCAGAAAAATCAACCGGAGATGTCAGGGCCTCACCAGAACCGTCACGGGCAGCAGAAGCTACCTAAACTGTGCAAGTCGTATGATATAATGCAGGGGCTTTAATAACTAGAACGGGTTTTTGGGCGTTCCTTATTACGATTACAGAAAATAAGACATTACGGGCCCCAAACCCTATTCGACTTAGGGCCCATCTTCTAGGGGCCTGAAATTCGCCTCGGCCCCCGTCAAAGGTTCCCTCTTTGCCCTCAGAAAAGCCTCTTTACCTCCCCAGTGACCCCCCCCCTAAATGCAGGGGCCTGAATCATTAGAATAGGGTCTTGGGGGTTCCTTATTCTAATTATAGTAATATACCCCCCATACCCCATTCAAATTGTTAAGGCCGTTATGTTCACCACACAATTGGATGTGGCTTCCAAGCCCCCACGTTCTCCCTTTGCCCCGGCTCCGGCCCACTTTAGTCGTCTTGTGCACTCTACTTAACTGGGCAGTCTTCACCGACGACCGAGCCGACGCGGACGACGCCAAGCATTTTTTACAGCAATAGAAAAGGCTTTGGAACCCTTCAGCCCTAAACCCTGAATTTCTCCCTACACCCGCCCTACCCCCCCGAATCAAAGACCACGGTACGGGAAGCAGGCAACAGCCGTGGCCACAACCCCGTGCTTCAGGATCAGCAGAGACGGCCTGAGGATGTGGGTGTTTGAGCTTGTTTGTTGTTCTGAGGGTTTTCGGTAGGGCTCTGTTTCTTTGGCTTGAGAGTTTGAGGATTCAGGGTTAAGGGGCCCAAAACCCCAAACCCGACAAACACACACGCACACAACCAGCTTTACATACTTCTGGGATGATTTTGCCTTCGTGTATGAGGCTGCCCCTGGAATGCCGCTGGTACGATCGCCAGCCTTTCTGCAAAACTTGCGCAGCTTCCTAGGGACATCAAACGTTAACCTTGGGTACTGTACATAAGGGTCACAGTACACCAAAACGGCAAAGCCATCGTGTTCCACTACTGAATAGCTTAAAAACCAGTCAGGTTTTAGGGTCACCGACCCTGGCGGCTCTGCAATGAAGATTCAATTCGTGAAACCTCTGAAGCTAAGGCCTCAAAAGAACAAATGAGCGTATGCATGTGGGCTGAATAGTAGAAATAACCCTAAACCCTAAACGTGCGCTGTTAGCATTCAGGGTAGGGCGGGATCCCGACACCTGAGCTGTGAGCTTTTGTGATTGTGCTTGTGCTGTCTATTGCCTCCCAACTAGCATGCGAATCGTAGCTGCATACGGTCTAAACAGCTCTAACCCCTGAATGGCCCGTTCTCCCCCACCCCCCCACCCCGCCCTAAACCCGAAAGCCCGCAAGCCCTATCGCCCCAAAATCTTGTTTCTGGCAAACCGCAAAATCCTATCCCTACTCCCTAATCCACCCCAAGAATTGGCGCTAGTTACCCTTAACCCTACACCGTATACCCCACAAAAATCCGTTGCAGTCCTTGCAATGACCTGGACAGGAACCCATTATGGTTAACCATACCTATATTGAGAAACATGTTGTGAAATAACCCCTAAAACCCCTACAGTAGAAGCCAGAAAGTTGGAACAGGTTTATCCTCATGCCCATAAGGTAGGGTATTAAACATGAGGGATCCTAACACGAATCCTCCTAAACCCTGAGCCCTATACCCAAAGTCCCTAAACCCAAAATCCCTAAACCCTAAACCCATTAAATGTTGACGGGTCTCCGCGATGTACGCTCCACCTGAGGAGCTAAGCAGTCCCGCACATGCATGTTGAACTGGTCCAGCGCCTCCTCCGACTTTCGGGTTTTGAGATTAAGGGCTTTAGGGGTTTGTATGGTTTCAGGGTGTGTATACAGTTTGCATGCGCGGCTGTATTTGCTTTTTGAACAATGGGTGCGCCCAACTATTCTCAATTAGGGTTCAAGGGTTCACCCCCCCAAACCCCCCTCAAGGGGGGCTTTCTTGCTCTCTGCTTCCCCTCGCAGCTCTGCATAAAATGCATGCTTCACAACAAACCACGGCTGAGATGGATGGGTGTCGGGCTGTGGATCCTCGCGGGTCGCTCGACGAGAAGCAAGGGTCCCCCTCCCTCCCTGTCGGGGTTCCCTAAACCCCTAAACCCTA